ACCAGGACTAAACCAGGACTAAACCAGGACTAAACCAGGTCTAAGCAATATGACACTAACAGTAGGATGGACATAATTTAAAGCAGCAGTGATCTCATATAGAAATAATTTCTCTATCAATAACATTTTTAATATGGTTAAGGAAAGACTGGTCTTTTTATTGTCTTTTAGCAGATACAATTTCTTATATTAAGATTTACTCGTCTTTGCTCCTCTACAGTAAACAGTTACCTGTTCATAAAGACTTGGGCTCAACAAACAATTTGAAGAAAACAAACAAGAATTTTCAGGATTTGGTCGCTACATTCACGTAGTTTCAAAAAGCATGACAATATCAAGTAATCCAAAGTGTTCAGATTACATTACTCACGTTAAGTAATTTAATGGATTACGTTACAAACTACATTTTGGGGTATGTAATCTGTAATCTGTAGGGGAATACATTTTAAAAGTCACCTTCCCAACACTGACTGGAGGATATGTCACCTTACGCTGCTCAAAAATACCTTCAAAAACATGACTACTGATTGGCCTAGGGGCATCAGCTGCTTGTTTCCACGGAGATAGATGTGCTTAATGCTATACTGTGGACATTCTGAAGCATTCTAGTAAAACAAACAGGTGATGCAAAGTTGTTTAGTGCACTTTTAACTTGTTGTTGTGAATTACAGTCATATCTTTCAGTGGTCCTGCCCTCATAATTCACTTATTTAATCTTTAGAGACCATTATTTTGATCAATATACCTCTTAATAGGGAAAATATTGTGTATAAACTGGACTTGAGTAGCAGTGTGTGTGCTCCTGCCGTTCTTGTTGGCCTGACTACAAACTGGGTTAATCACCAGGCCTGAACTACATTTGCTGGAAAGGGAGTGTTACCAGCTGTTTTCAAGAAGCGCCTCCAAGTTGTCATCATCCATTTAGGGATCGTAATGTCTTGTGTGATGTGTGGCTGTGGGCTAAGTGCACTGACACTGTTGGTTTGGTATTTGTATGCACAGGCAGCGCAGTGGGCTATAAAATAAACTGCCAAAACATTTTAATGACGTTCTGATCATGAGTGAAAATGAAAATGCACAAAGCACCGTGTTGATCCCTGCTTATTTTAAAATTCATCATGCAAACGAAAAACTTGAAACTCCCGTGGCGCTGTCTTCATCTCCCAGTGGGCCATTGCTGCTATTGCCAAGATCCCACCCAGTTACATGTGATTACAAAGTGTCTTAACCCCCGAAATCTCAACGTGATGTTCACCAGGCCTACCAGCTCAGCCCACTCGTCCCAGTCACTCATCCCGAGACTTGTGTTAGTCTGATTACCAAGTACATCTCCTGTGTCTGATTAGTGTGGGGTAAATGAAGCGCCCCCCTCAGGTATGCATTTCCATAATGTCAGGTAATTAAGCCCCAGTGTTTTAATAGGATTTCTCTCCAGGAGACAGGACTAAGATGATAGACTGCGAGGAACTAGAAGCACAGTAGTTTGTTTTGAACTGGTTTTCAAACTGTTACTTTTTTGTACAGTACAGATTTTTGAGAAACACTTTTATGCACTCACTCAAGACTGATATGAAAAGATGAAAATGAAAATATGACTTCTGAAATATCACATAACTACTGAAGTGCGCTGTGCTGTCATAAAACTGGCTGCACAATTAGCATATTCATTACCAGTAATGAAATACACTGCAGTTGTGCTTTGAAAATTACAAAAAAAAAATTATAATAACCAAAAAAATACAGTTTTAAGCCTAAAAGAAATTTTTTATATACACATTTTTATATACAATTTTACTACTTTATGCCACTGACACAATAACTGGTTTAGTCCTGGTTCAGCTCTGGTTTAGTCCTAGTTTAGGCCTGGTTCAGCTCTGGGTCAGCTCTGGTTTAGACCTGGTTTAGTCCTGTTTCAGTCTTCCTGGTTCAGTCCTCAGTTCAGTCCTGGTTTAGACCTGGTTTCATCCTGGTTCAGCTTTGGTTTAGTCCTAGTTTAGTCCTGGTTCAGTCCTGGTTCAGCTCTGGTTTAGTTCTGGTTTAGTCCTGGTTCAGTCCTGGTTAAGACCTGGTTTAGTCCTGGTTTCATCCTGGTTCAGTTCTGGTTCATTCCTGGTTTAGTCCTGGTTCAGACTCGATTTAGTCCTGGTTCAGTCCTGGTTTAGTCCTAGTTTAATCCTAGTTTAGACCTGGTTTAGTCCTGGTTCAGTTCTGGTTTAATCCTAGTTTAGACCCGGTTTAGTCCTGGTTCAGTCCTCAGTTTATTTTATACAATTTTACATGACTGAAAACTTTCATTACAAACCATGAATTCCCTGTATGTTCCTTGGGCTCTTCCTGTCTTTGCAACTCTAATAAAGTATAAGCCTGTATCTCTAGCCTGTGCCATACATGTAATGCAGTATATTATGCTCATAACCTGCATAATATATTGGCTTTGTGTAGATGTGTGCCCCTTTTATCAGAAGTGCTCCTATCCCCTCACCCAGCCCTGTGCGCGCTGTTGATAGTTGACAGATTCCAGAGCTAAACAAAGGCGTCGGGAGCGCGAGTGTCTTTCTCATCACAGAACAACCTAGAGAGGTGCTATTGTAAACATGACAGTAGATTGTCAGTACACCCCTTTTACATGGCTTGTTTTTCCTGCCTGTATGTTCTGCCCATAGACTTTGCTCACATGCATAACAAAGGGCTTTTGATTAAACAAATTCTGCCGAGAGAGAGCTTTCTTTGTCCCGTCGGCCACTCAAATGTGCACTGCTCCAGATGGGGACAATGGGCAGAGCGATATTGGTGACACTGGAAGGTACTGGATGTGAGAGTCCCCCATTCAAAAATATTAACCATAAAGCCGTTTCGCCATAACCATAATGCTTTTTCTCAACCGCATAGCTGTTATTATCCACCAAATGTTTCAAGAAATAATACGATTTTAATGGCGCGAGCTGCTAATGATAGTGGGGACATAAGACCATTAAAATTATGTTGCATTTATTACTCCATTTTTTGAAGTGTGGTGCAGGCAGATGGTTGTTATATTGGGATCTTGCAATTACATGTAATAAGGGCTGCACAGTATTAAAAGGCATGTCTCACTGTGTCTCTGTGTGGAATATTGGAAGCTCAAATTGCAGCTGAGTTTGAGTACTTGAAACATACATGTTGGTGTCTACCAGCGAAAACTAAATTGGTCTAAATTGGTCAAAAGTGAACAAGACTTAAATTTGGAAGTCTACCCCAAATCAGAGAGTAGTTTGATAGAATTAAAGCTCATTTGAAGGTTCAGGATATTTTCTAGCTGCACTTGCATTTAATTTATCCTGTGTAACTAATGATAATCATGAATTCAACTATTATTGTAAAGAAATGGGCCTGTCAACAAATTGAAGCATGATACAGTATATTGTTTAAGAGAAATACTGCAATAAATGATGACTAATTGGGACTACTTTATGCCACTGACACAATAACTCGTTCAGTCCTGGTTCAGCTCTGGATTAGTTCTGGTTTAGTCCTGGTTTAGCTCTGGTTCAGTTCTGGTTCAGTTCTGGTTTAGCCCTGGTTTAGACCTGGTTCAGCTCTGGTTTAGTCCTGGTTTAATCCTAGATTAGACCCGGTTTAGTGCTGGTTCAGTCCTGGTTCAGTCCTCGGTTGAGTCCTGGTTTAGACCTGGTTTAGTCCTGGTTCAACTCTGGTTCAGTCCTGGTTTAGTCCTGGTTTAGACCCGGTTTAGTCCTGGTTTAGTCCTGGTTTGATCCTCCTGGTTCAGTCCTCGGTTCAGCCCATATACGGCGCAAAAGTTCAGCATCTTCGCTCACTGATTGTTATTTGACAATTATTTTGGTGAGAGTAACTTAAAAGTGCTGCAATAGTTATGTAATGCTTTAAATTTTAAATACAGTAATATTGTAATGTAATTAATTGCTTTGAAATGACAATAACCAGTAATAAATAACATATTACAGTTTTGAAGTAACTTGCCCAACAGTGCAAATAACAGAGTGAAGCTCAAATCTTATCATATTGCAACAAAACACCCAAAATCTCCCCATTTTTGCAAACAAAATGTGCACATAATAAATATTGACCCAGAGAATGTATTGTTCCGCTTGCATATACTGAATGATGTTGATATGGTAATTATCGTGACAGGCCTTTGAATCTTTCTCCATGTCTCTATTCTTCAGTGTTAAATACAAAAAGGCATACATTTTTTGGGCATTGTTGCGTAATTTGCATATAGTTATCCACTAATGCAACAAAAAAGCTTGGAACAGATGAGCGTGTCTTAGCGCTTCTAATCTGACTGCTTATTTTAGGTTTGGAATCAAAATAAAACAATTTATCATTTGTCAAGGTGCATTTGTATAGACTTATGCTTCACTGACACGGTTCTTGATTGAGAATAACTGCAACTGTAGAGAATGCTTCAAACCAATGAGAAATGGTAATGCACATCTGTTAGCACAAGCCTGCGCCCCTTTTCACTGTGCTCAAGTTGTAAAAATCTGAATTAAAAAGCGCCTCGTCACTGAGCAGAAGCAGGCTCTTTATGTGAGGAGCAGATACAAATGCATCACACTGCGGGCCACTGTTAATTGCGTTTAATGAACCACATGTTTTATTGAGCATAACCTCTGTCGTGTTGCCAAGGAAGAAATCAGCCAAGAAGTGAATATTGAAATTAGCTGCTGAGTGAATCGCACACGGCGTTGCCAAGTTGGTGGGGAAAAAACGTTACTGGCAGCCACTCGCTTCGATGATCAATTTTGTCATTCACAGATAGAAAATGTAAAAAATGAGCAGCCAGATATCAGATGGTAGTTATTCAGAAGTAAAGCTCTGTCAAAACGCAATGATTGTGACTGCATTTTGCGAAATATCAAAAACAATTCTGTGGGACATAGATCATTTTGTCAATACTTGCATTGTGGAAAATGATGTTATTGCTGACTTTATTAAATGATGTGTATTGACAGATTTTTTTTCTTCTCCTTTTTCAGCAAACTCCAGTCTTCTGGGAGGAGGGGGAGGTGAGTACATGCTTTTTTATCCACTAAAGCCTCTCATTGTTCACTCTTGACATTAAAACAGTTAAACTCACACTTGTGAAATTGCATATGGCAGACTTGTCCGCTGCTTTATGACAGGCTAAGTGTATATTTGCCGCAAGTGTCTTAGTGGCCAAAACATTAGTGCACTGAGCAGAGAAACTGGTCATTATTTGAGCTCTCTGCCCAAGAATATTATCATCAAAGCTACAGAGGAAGTAAAGGGTCGGGAGCTGCCCAGACTCACTATTGTCCCCAGCTCAAATTGGACTTTTACTGTGACGTGATTGAAATAATCATTTTTGCAAGGCTCAGATATGGGAAGAAATGTATTTTACCCCTAGTTAAAGAATGTTAAAGGAGCTGCTATGCTTTGGATTTTTCGCATTAGATCTGGTTTGAACATTTGACATGACTTTACTTCTGGCAATGTGGTGTGATCCTTATTGCACGATAGTCCAGCTATAGATACATGCAAGAGTTAGTAGATTAGTAATAGCAGAAGTTGTGAATGAATGAATTAATATATGAATGTTTATTCGGACAGCAATACAAAGAACATAAATAAAAAACATAAATACATAGATATAACACAAAAAGTAAATATTTCTATTCTATAATAACAGAGAAAATAAAAGTTACGCCGAATTTTCCTTGTGTCTGAAAAAGGAGTGAGAGGAAGTAATTTACTTTTTTTTTCCTACCATCCCAAATTAACAAAGAACACATAGAGACTTCTCATTTCCTGTACAATATAAGCAATAATTGCACAGTACCCGCATTGCATTACACATCTAACAACAACAACAAATATATGTATATTATGTACACAGATATAGTACACATCATATACACATATATATACTATATATAATATATATATATATATATATATACATATATATATATATATATATATATACCTATATATATATATATATATATATATATATATATATATATACTATATATATATATATATATAATATATATATATATATATATATATATATATATATATATATATATATATATATATATATATATACACACATACACACACACACACACACACATATATATACATATACATACACATACATATACATGCACACATATACACTAAGCACTAATTTCTTCAGCACAGTATTTTGAAATAATACATTTTTAACTGCCCTTTTGAATACATGTATATTTGAACAAAGTTTTAATTCTATTTTCAAGTTGTTCCATATTTTTACACCACAAACAAGAGACACAAACAGTTTTTCTTGTCGTTCGAGCATGAGGCATTTTAAAATTCAAAAAGCTCTCAAGTTATAGTTTCCTTCCCTTTCACAAAAAAGTAGTTGGATATTTTTTGGTAAGTGCTTATTTTTAGCTTTGTGCATTACTTGTGCAGTTTGGTACAGAATCAAATCATTCAGTTTGAGTAATTTGTCGTGAATAAACAGTGGATTAGTGTGGTCATGTGAAATATCAACTAGGTCTGTCATGATAACACATTTTGAAACATGATATATTGCTGAAATTATAGATAATAATCAATAATGTTGAAACAAATTTTTGCTACATATTCATCCATTAATGCCTATTTAAATGGGTAATCAAGGGCACTGATTTTTTTTTCCTGTAAAACAGTGTTTCAGTTAAATTTCTATTGACATCCTACATTGTACTAGCTCTTTACTGAAGTTTATGCAGTTGGGCAATAAAAATTTAACATAGTTCAAAAATGTGCATGCTTCAGTCTGTTTATGTAATAATAATAATGCATGTACATTTATTAAAAAACTGAGTCAGTACTGGTTACAGTTAAACATTTTGTATTGAAGGCACCAAAAAGTTTTAAGTTTTGTGTACTAGTTATGTTGAAAAATATGAAAAATATTAATTACAAACTACTTAAACTTTTAGGGTATGGACTACTTAAATATAGACAGTTTGTTACCCTACAAAATTAACCTTATAGTACATAACTTTGTCTGTCTGTAAGTAATACATACTCTAAGTTTGTTAACTCAAAAGCAGCAGTTTTTGTTCTCAAAATTTTCAGTGTCATTAGTTCATCATCAATTTGTTTGAGTAGTCCAAATTTGTTGGGTTTTACAGTGCAAGACAACATTTATACCACAAAAAAATATTGTAAATGTAAAAAAAATTCAATAATTAATCAGCAGAATTAAGTTAGTACTTAGTTTGCATCTCATCAAACTAATCATAAAGTCATAGTTATTAATTCAGCCTTCTACCACTCAAATCTTATCATACAGCCCAAAAATAACCATACATTTCCCTGTATGTACAGATGATAAATACTGACATAAAAAAATATTGTTCCATCTGTCATATATTGAACAGTAACTCTATATAGTAAGTGTTGTGGCAGACCTAATATCAGCTTGTTTCTATTAACATAACTTTTCTTCTCATAAAAGTTGTTTCTTCACGTACGTATTGGCATTTTCCACTTGTACCTTATTGGCCCTATTTTCTATTACTTGGCTTTGACAGTTTTTTGGGACTTTTGGCACCTTTTTATTAATGGCAGCTTTTAACGTGGCAAGTAAAGTAGTACAAGAAAGCCGTGGTGTGGAGGGCTGAGAAGGGACTCAGGAAAAAGGCTGTGGGATCCTGGACTCTAACAGAAGAACCCCAAATGGCAAAAAATAAATGCATTGTTAAAGTCCTATATTACATAAAGTTGACTCTTGTGAGCTTTTCGCCATGTTAGAATTTTGTTACCTCCTCAAAAACATACCCAGAGTTGTGTTTTGTTTCATTCACACATGTTTAAGTAACACTTTATTACTGGTGTGTCTGCATCTCAAAACTCAACATGCTCTGTTCCACCTTGCAGCTGTTAACTGGAAAACTACCTTTTCATCACATTTCACCTTTTGTTCTGTAAAAATTGGCAATTTTAGTGGAAGTGCAGGGAGGTTAAAAACACAGTATTACTACATGGCATCACAAGGTGGAACAGAGTGTTTTCTGTTTGAGAGAAGAATGCAGCTTAAATATGCAGGTTTGTGTTTTAACCATGTGTGAATGAAACAAAACACAACTCCAGGTCTGTGTGTGATAAGGAAACAACATCATAACATGGATCAGAAAATGGTGTATCATATTTTTTGGACCATAAGTCACACTTTTTTTCATGGTTTGGGTGGTCCTGCAACTTATACTCCGGTGCAACTTATATATTAAAATTTTCACACTGACAGCCGCGAGAGGCTTTTGGCTTGTGTGTCAGTATCTGCTACTCCTATTACTCTTGCGCCACTGTCTCTTGGCTATATTGCGCATGTCTCCTACATGTGTCCTGCTGCAAGTAGCGAAATATCCAGCCAAAAACAGTAATCGAGCAGCAGAAAGAAAGTTTGGAGTGAGTGAGAAACTTGTGAAGGACTGGCAGAAGGCGGGGATGAAGAACACAGCTTCATGGTAACTGGGCGGATGTGCCATGCAACTTTACTGGAAGTCACTGGATGGATCGACAAAGAACGGATTTCAGTGACAACCGAAACCATCCTGTCGGGATTTAGAAAGGCCGGAATAATTCTAACTGGAACTGATGCTGAGTCTGATGACAGCTACGCAGATGTTTACCTCCAGAGGTTGTTTAGTTGCTCAGAAGTGACACTGAGGATGAAGAATTCAATGGATTTAGTGATTTGGTGTGAGATGGAGAGTTTGGTAAACTTGATTATGCTATAGTTATCTGAGTGACTGTTCATATGTTATGTTAATTGCCTGTTGTTCACCTATTCTTTTGTTATTACTATAACTTGCCTTTCAAGATGAAATGTCGGTTCCTAGTCTCTGGTTTTATAAAATAAATTTCCCCCAAAAAGTGCACTTTATAGTCCAGTGCGAATTATATATGTTTTTGTCTTCATTACGCATTTTTTGGCTTTTGGGACTTAAACTCTGGAGTAAAGCATGCTTTAGGCTAGTTAAAGTTAGGCTCAAAAACATCTCACACACTTTGGTAACCAATTTCAATAAACACCAGGACTGAATAACTCGTCTAATCACATTGCCTGGAGTAGCTCTCATGTGCCTGGACACAAAAGACATGGACAGACTTTCCCACAGCGTTTCATCGTAGCCCTCTCCTTATCAGAGAACAGGAGAGGCCCTTAGCCCCGCACCACCACAAGCACTCCGCTGATTGAGGTCAGAGGTCGCTAACATGCGTCTTCATAACCAGGCTGTGCTACGGCGGATTCCTAACCACCTTCCAATCGGCTGAAGTCAACTCTGTATTGATTTGCGTCGTCGGGAGAAATGCATGAACCAATTTTCTGTGCTATTATGTTTCCATTATTGTTATTTTGTGGCAAACCACCAGTTCTCCACTTTGCTGATGTAGACCCAGGTTCTTCTTGAACTAATAATAGATGTCTGGGTTGGATTGCTCTACTTCAGCTCAACGGCAGCAAAATTGAGTCGAGTTTATAGCTTGTCAACATCTAAGCGCCAGATTTTGTGTCACTTAATGTCATTGTTTAGAATTGTATTATGTCACTGACACAATAACCCAAGAGCACACTTAACAAGTTTGTAGTACTGATAGTTGTTTTTGTTTTTTTTCTTAAACACATGAGCTGCAATAAATGAACAGCAGAATGAAACCCTTTAGTACTTAGTTTGCATCTGTAATGAGTCACAGTATTGATTAATTCAACCTTCTATGGCTCAAATCTTACCGTATAGCCAAAAATAACTATTAATTTCCAAATGGTGCAAAGAAAATGTACACACGATAAATATAGACCCGTAAAATGTACAGTATATTTTCCATCTATCATGTATTGAATGATAATTCAGTATAATTGTGCACAGGGCTCTTATTTTATTTAGAGACAAATATTTAAAATGAAAGTATTATTTAGGGCTACTGTAATTTATCCATTGTTAAGCCTCATTGTAGACCTGCTTTAGCCTTAATATATACCTGATTTAGTCCAGGATTA